CGAGATGTAATCTTGGTGCTCAGGCAATAATAGTGGACTTCTCTACCTTGATATATAATGCGAGATATAATGTACTATTTCGCACGCGTCAAAAAAATGTATGATTAATTCTCTTAAGTTTACAGTGCAAGTTGCGCTCATAAATTTGCTTAATTTAACCTCCATCTTGAAGTTTACAGCACGCTTGTGATTTTTGAATGCAACGTTAGTTTTAATTTTAATGCTAATGGTGTTATGTCGGTAAATTATGGTAATGATACGAAACGGAAATGTACCAAAATCACTTGGGTATTCCCAAGAACCCGCCACTAATTAGTATTCTTACTTCAAATTGCAGGGTCGATCCTGACACCAATGACCTCAACACCAATCGAAGGACCCCCTGACATAATGCTCAAGACTTGATCATTTTTTAACTATAATTAAATACTTATTTTAAAACTATAATTAATAGATTAATTCATCAAAATATAAAATGACACACATACAACACTACTGACAACCGACCAAAAAAATCACCATAAATACATCAAGGAAAACTTCTTAGCGCATTTTTGATTCTTCACTAACTGTCGTCTGTTCGATCGAGATCTCGGCAACGGAATATGGTAAAACTTTCGGGTTTTCAGTATTATATTAATACTATCGTGTTATTCCTGCATTGCATAGTCTGAAAACTGAAAACCATTCTTGAAGTTGATAATTTATGAATTTCCTTTAAATGTGTTAAAATAAGGAAGGATCTTATCTAATTCAAGAGTACAAAGTTATGTACTCTACTACCTGGCCCTCATGGTCAATCTCAAGTAAATTGCAGTAATTTTTTACCATAATTCAGTTTTGAAGCTCTCAATGTTATCGCCTTCAAACCAAATTTTTTAAATTGAAAAATTGAAGGGTCGAGAGAACTTTGTCGATTAGAAATCTCCTGTACAAGCATATTTGGAGTACGAAGATCTGTTTAGCCGCATAGTAAATTAAACACCTTCCGAGGTAGCTCCAATTTACGGCGACTCAGTATGCACCAATTCCGTGAATAACGGTAGGGTTATTGAAATTATCCATGCATTCGAGAGTCTCCATGATTTTGTAGATTTGGCAAAGCGACTGGAGAAAGTAGGCCATTCTTCAGGATCTCCAAAAAATTCAAGCAAGTCTTTGAACATGGATTTTCTTGACATGAGCTGTCTTCGATGATTTAATGATCCCGGTGCGACAGCAAGCGGAATCGGGTGTTTCGGCTGGACTGGAAATTTTGATAAATGTAATAACGGCACATTGTACCGAGTGATCCAATAAGACTGTTCCTCGGTCATATCTCGGGAACCATTCGTCGTATGACTTAAGGTGGGTTCATAGCTCTCCGTTCATCCGTTGCGTTGGTCTGTCAAACGGATAATGCATTTTATTAAGGTTCATAGCAATCCGTCCACATTGTACATTTGCAACGTATAACCATAACCTAAATTTTATTTTGTACTGTACCCTCCGTGATTTTCAGTATGTAAAAATGGTACGAAAGTAAGAGCACGTTGCTATCTGATTATTACGTGAAGAACGAATAGGCGAACACTGTTAACGTACCAAACATAACCTCACTCTTGTTAAAAACGGAACAACGGAAACGTAAATGTTCAACTTCAACCAACTTTTCCGTCGTAAACGGACGACTTACGATTTAAAAATTTGCTGTCTTCTGATTGGCTAACGGACAAACGGAAACGTAAGAACGGAGAGCTATGAACCCACCTTTAGAAGTAAACAAAATTATACGGTAAATCGGTTATGAAAAATCGCTGGAAAATATTTTCAAGTTCTAAAAATGACCACCAGAGGGCGTAACTGCCATCTTACATTTTAAAATTGCATTTTCGCATAATAAACTAAACGTTCTTTTTTCACATTTTTAAAGAGAACCGGTTTCTGTATCATTTTCGTAAAACAAAAACTCAGTTATTTCAAAAATAAAGATGGCGTGGGGCGTTCAATTGTTTTTGCAATAACCTGCTTTAACTTCTTAACCATTTGGCCGATTTTAACAAATTTGGTATGGTTGAAAAAGAGCACCAAAATATAGTTAATTTAGTTGAATCCTTCTCCGCCAGTGGGCTAGTTTTGACACCATGACCCAAAATCCTAAAAAAATCAAAAAAATCAAATGGAACGATATGACTTTTTCTTTATGAAAAAGTAGCCAAATAACATCCAAGTGAAAACCGTTTTTCAAAATCTCGTTCCTAACCTCAAATATTGGGAAAATGAGATTAATTAATTAATAAATAAAAATGCTTAAATTGTATCTTACTTGACGTATTTACGGTATTTGTCGATGGCGCGAAAGAAAAGCACCCTACACTTTTAGGTAGGCCTTGGAAACTTAAACGATGCATTATAAAATAATAATAACCGTAATTTGTAAATTATTCTGCTGTCTTTCAGTAAGTGCAGTTTTTTGAATTTGTAATCTTTTTCGTCACATTCGTTTCTTGTCGTCTTTTTTATGACGCCTCCACGTCTGTCTGGATTTCTAGAATATTCCCTGCAATATTTCCATATAACCACTTTACAATACTTTACTACGAAACTCCTTATAAACAGTCAACGGGTTTCGTTATAGTGTCTATCCCTATATACATCGAGGCGCCATGCAAAATTAGTCATCGACGATAAAGAACGAAGGCGGATGTTCTTCCTGGAAATATGATGTTTTATTTTACAAAGTTTGAGCTAATTGCGTTTCAGGACAGTTCCAATTTCAACGCTGAAGTAATAAATAGTTCGCGATGTGAGTGATATGTCATAAATCAATTCATTTCAAGATTTTTATAAATTTATTGTTAATTAATTGAAAAAAAAAATGAATCACGTAAATAAATGAAACAGCGTCGTGCCCATGGTGAGCTTGATCCTGCGATCCCCTAATAGATGCAGTTCAATGCGCTCGCGTTCACTCCGTGGACTCTCTCGTATAGTTATAGTCTATCTTCGGCTCTGTGACGTAGAGCTAAATAATGTTACTGTCATCGACATCCTGGTAGAAGAACCGAGTAATAACACGGGCTCTGTCTGCATACCTTCCTTTCAAAACGTAAACGGTTCGGCGGAATACCTTTAGCGGCGCATCTTTTGAGACCATTTTGACCCCAGAGCCAGACTAGATATCGTAGCGGGTTCGAGGGACCAATGAAATGTTTCACATGCACACAATCGTTTTTATTTTACAATACTGACAATTCTATTTTGTCTGAAACATCAATTTGGTGGACACTTCACTTATGACGCCGGTGTCAACAATCCTGTATAATATACTTATCTGAAAACCGTATACAATTGAACAGAATAAAAATTCTTATTTTTGTGAATAAATCAGATACTCCTTTCCGGTCAAAATCCCATAAAAAAATTACCAACCCTGTTATAGTTAGTTGTATTAGACGATGGATCGCAACGTAACGTTTTAAATTACCATATTTAGTAAAGAGTGCTAATTCAAGCTAAATTTAACAATCTAAAATTAGTAAAAAAGATCAGATAAAAGAATGTCAGTTGCCAGAATTTCAAAAAAGGCTAGGACATCAAATCAGAAAAAAATTGATGGCTTCGTTATGGTAATGAATGACTGAATATTGGGAAAACCTGCTATTTTCTTTACATTAAAAATGCTGCTATATACAGGGTGGTGACTTGCGTGACGCATCATAGGGATTTCAATGTAAAATTTATAACATGCGATTATTGGCTCCCCAAATTATTTTAGAGCAAAAATGTATTAAGGTTTTTTGTAGAAAACAATTTTTTACGTCAATCAACCGTATTAGTTTTCAATTTTTTGCATAATAAAGACGGAAAATTGGAAAAATAAAACCCCCATCTTTTTCAATAATCTGCGATGCCATGGAATTTTCTAAAACAAAAAGATATCCAGTTATCAATTAGCAGCAGTTCGAAATGGATTTTATGATCGACTTGGTTACTGTATTGCAGTTAATAGTGACTTATTCGAACATTTATTGTAAATTGTTATATTAGGAAACCGTTTTTAGTAATTTGGTCTTTCTTTATGTTGAATTCGCTGTTGTAAATATAATACTTTTTGATAGAATTTGATTTCTTTTATAGCAGACATTCCATGGCATGACGGATATTGACGTAGTTTTTGTATTATAAAATTCCATGGCGTCACAGATTATTGAAAAAAGATGTGGGTTTTATTTTCCAATTTTCCGTCTTTATTATGCAAAAAATTGAAAACTAATACGGTTGATTGACGTAAAAATTTTTTTTCTACAAAAACATTTTTGCTCTAAAATAATTTGGGGAGCCAATAATCGCATGTTATGAATTTTACATTGAATTCCCTATGATGCGTTGCGCAAGTCACCACCCTGTATAACATTTTGAATTATATATACCTACGAAAAAAGGGGAAATAAATGATCTCGTGAACGTTAATGTATTTTCTGGTTTTTTGATCGTTTTGCATAATAGCCACGTTTGGCAAACAAAATATTTTTTGGTTTTGTTGCTCGAATCTATAACCAGATGTGCGGTAACTTTGTACCTATAGAATATAGATCTTTGGAAATTGGTTGTTTATTATTACACGGTAAAATGCTGAACGTCGAAGGTCTGGGGTACGTTTATGCTAAATTTTAGCCATGCCAAAATCCGTTTTCTATTGCAAACCAGTTCAATAATCCGCTAATCAAAAACTGGTTTGTAATGGTACAAATAGACTAATAGAGCTCAAAATAAAACACGCAATACGAGAAAAATCAGAATGCCAAGAGAAGTTCGACATGAGGAACTGATGGAAGCCTAAAAAGGCTTTCTTAAAAATTAGTCAAAATATGCTTCACTTATTTGTACTACTTTGTAGTACTTTTGTTGAATGGAAAATGAGAGCAAAGTTTCTTTATTAAATGAGTAGGTATATGTCAATGAACGAGCACGAAAAATATTGTTGTTCACCTTGATGAAGCAATTTTGTTTTGTTTTAGGTATTGAAGATGCCGTAAACCAAGTGAGAGGGATCGGCGGAAAGGCGTACGGCTACAAATGCGATCTAACGGATAGGGAGGATGTGTACAGAACCGCTAATAAGGTTTACGAGGAAGTCGGACAGGTAATCTTCGACCTTCTTACTTTCACAATTTTTGGGGCTTTCTACTAGTCGGTAGTCGTAATTCGATTTAAATTATATACTAGGTACTGAGATTAGCTAACGGAACTTGTTGTAGGTAACGATCCTCATCAATAATGCCGGAATTGCTTCGGGGCGCCTTCTTCTGGATACTCCCGATCATTTAATCCAGCGGACGTTTGACGTGAACATTATCTCTCATTTTTGGGTAAGTCGGCGTTTTTTTAAACGTAACGCACTCGAGTCACTTCCATTGCTTCAGACGACCAAGGCGTTTTTGCCGAAGATGATCGACAGTAACCACGGGCATATCGTCACAATCGCATCCTTGGCAGGTCACATTGGAGTACACAAGCTGGTCGATTATTGCTCGTCGAAATTCGCCGCCGTCGGTTTCGACGAGTCGTTGAGGATAGAACTCGAAAAGCTGGGTTTGTGAGTCCACGTCGTCTCGCGGTTTTTGACCGAGTCTCTCTTTCAGGGGTTACTGGCGTTAAAACGACCGTAGTGTGTCCCTACTTTATCCAAGCGACTGGGATGTTCAACGATGTCGTCTCCCGTTTCGTGCCGACATTGAAATCCACCCAAGTCGCCGATGAGATCGTCGAGGCGATCGAGCTGGAGAAGTTGAGCGTGATCATCCCGCGATACTTGGGAATATTATGCGTGAAGTGGTTGGTATTGCAATTTCCACCAGTCGGAGAACTAATTGGAGACTTTTTAGGATTTTACCTTGGACTGTCATCTCACTGTTCATGCGCAATATCGTCAGTAACGCCGGACCTACGCACGCCGAAGCCTTGCCTCACGAGAATAAAAAAATGCCAGAAAAAGGAATGTTTCAAACGAACGCAGAATCCGAATTGCATCACAGGGCCCACGTTACCGAAAAGAGATAATTATTTTTGTATTTGTTAAGGAAATACAGTTTTGATGGATGCGTATGCGCGCGCTTAATTAAAAGATCTAAATTTCTCTTGTACTTCCATTATTACCCTCATTAAAACTTCACGTCCTCACAGTTTCTTGTTATAAATTCATTCAAAATGTCCTCGCAGTTTGATGCCATAAATTTATTCAAAATCGTGAGAAAAATTTAACTGTTACCTCCCTTCGCTTGGTGTTATATCATCGATTGCCTATTAAACATAATTACCTACATGTATTAGTTAAACGTGAAAGTTTTCCAACTGTGCCTAAGGCTTTCCTTTCATTAATTTATTTATTGAAAAAACTTATTCAGTTAGTGAACTATATCGTAATCGTTATTAAATGTTGTAACGTTCCGTTTTTCTTTACAGATACAGGATGACAAGCTTTCGTTTTGCAATGTGTGGCAATAGTTCTTTGTCGATGGTTCTGTTAAATAAAATCCAAAATTGATTTTTTAGTAACTGCGCAAATTTCCCTTTCGTTTCACTATCCAAAACAAGAAATGGACAAAACATTTGCGGAAGTACCATCCATGAATCACGCCTAGCGGTTTTACTTAAAAGTTCGTAAAGTTGCTGTTCTTTAGGAGCTAACCCCTGACCTACGAAAAGTAGCTTAGTCACATACGGAGTTATTAGAAGCCTATCAGCATCTCTTTATAGTTTCGAATAATTTAGAGTTACACTGTATAGCATTTTTCCATTTTAATAGCTTATTAACACAAAAATGTTGTAACGTTCAATAATTACCTACATTCTACTTTTTGCGATTTACTGTAACATATGAGTTTTAAAACTTTTCGTAATTTTGGGTACCATATAAAAATCTTTGAAGATAAGTTCCTAAATTTCCTTTTGTATAATTATATATGTCGCAGCCGTTTAATGAAATTGGACATTTCATGAAAAGTCTAGTCCGAGGCCTAGTCATTTAGTGAAACGCTGAAAATTTGTACGTGTGGGGTATTTTCCCTTCCCCTTCTAGATCGATAAGGATACCATTTATCGATCTCTAATGGGAAGGGAAACCAATCGCTTGGTCTTGGAAAGTAAACTGTTCCACAGTTTCATATAAATGACTAGACTTTTCATGAAATGTCCAATTTCATTAAACGGCTGCGACATATACAACAGAACATCAATTATTTCTAATATTCGGCAATGATTATCAGCTTGTAGACTAGCGTCATAAATCAAATCATTCAATAATAAATTTGAATATTCAATGATCAAATACAAAAAAACCCCAGTTGTAATATACCCAGGTGTGGGTATACCTACTGTATAACGACACTTGACCTTGGGCAAATTATTTAGACCGCAGAAAAATATTGCGGCAATTGACCCGGATCTAATTTTAGCAGTTGACCCAAAGATGCAAGGTCAAAGTTTGGCAGTTGGTTGGAGGCGCAAAGTCAAATTTCAGTAGTTGGCCTCGGAGAGCTATATTTTGGCAGTTGGTCCGGGGTTTACCGGCGACGCTAAATAAAATGCTGTTGTTTTTTTATGGAAATATATACAATATTAACAAAAAAAAAATGGTAGCCGAAGTGCACGCGGCGAGCGCTGTAGTCGATGTGAACGCTTGGTCCTTCGAGCCGGATGCTGTACATCCCTAATGGTACATTTGGCTCTTCGAGCCGGATGGATGGTACATTAGCTCTTACAACTCTAGTGCTACAACTTGGTCTTTCGAGCTTTCAACGAATTGGTGCCGCGTTACCACAAGGGTTCCGATCTCAGTAAGTGCTTTCTTCGAAATGGATGGTGTACATACATATTTTATTGGTTGTAAACGGGAAGAATCGAACCTTCGACCTTTTTGCTACGATGTATTATAGGAAATTATTATAATTGTAATAATTATTATAATATTATTAGTAAATTATTATAATATAATTAGTAAAGAGAAATGGCAACAATCTGTAACAGGTTCAGGAAAAATCATGCGTTTATTAAAATTAAAGCAAATTGATTTGAAACAAGTAATAGTGGCTATGGTAATGTAATTATTTATAATAGACTGGCAGCAATTATATTGAATGCTATAGCCCAATTTCACAAAGGTCGATTGAAGTCTCTTTTGAATAATCAGGTCTGCAATTCAATTTTTTTAATCAAACGTTTACTAACGAGTTGCTATTTCTCGGGAAACCTCCAAACAGGTGCATTAAGGAACTAGATTTTTTCTCTTTTCAATGACGTAATATGTTAACAACACTAAATAAGAACATTTTTCAAAAAAATTACAAACAAACGAGTCTAATGAAAGGGTACATTGCTATTTTAAAAATTCAATTGTTTTTCGTTACTTGTTTGTTTGTTGAAATAAAAACAACTGAGTGCCGCCCTATTATGGAAAATAAAAACTGTGTATTCAGTCGTTATTTACCGAGATATACGTATAGGTACTATATTCCATACATAATGGGCACCCTGTACAACGAAAAATCACTAAAGATATATACAGCGCCCTACACTTAAACGATCTACACCCATTTTTGATCATGATCACATTCTCTACAACGCTTCTTGTGGTGTATACTATCCACAATCCGCTTTCTCCTAAGTTTTCGTTCATTAGGTTTTTGTGTCATTGTATTTTTGAGGAAACAAATCAGGCGATTTCTTTTGGAACATGTTAGCACACTGGTTTTCACTACAGTGACTCTATAGAGACAGTGTGATCATGCGGTGGTGTTATTTTCTATTGGTAGTTAGTTGGGAGATACGTCATATTTTGACCAAATACCTACACGGGATTGGTAGAATTTAACCTGGAAACCAAGGTGATGAATTTATCTTGCTGGATACAACTGGATACAATTGTGACAGCATTGTTGTGACCATAGCAAAATCTATTAATTGTTAATCAACGATAATAAATTGGCATTTAATAGCTATTATTTTACAGCATATTTTAAATTAACATTTTAATAGGTTTGAATGAGTAGGCTAAGCCGTTCTTTAACCGTGAGGGTAGATAAAGTAAAACAGATGAATGTGCATTCTAATGACATCTGCCGTTCTTATTTCAAATGCACGATATAATATGACGTTCAGAACATATGACAATTATGTTTCTATAGAAACGATCGTGACGGCAGAGCCTAAGCTTACTATTTTTGACGGCGCTAAATTAAATTCAGAATTGTCAGAAGTTTTACAATGATTTATTTATGGCTTTTGCTATAAAATAAAGTTTTGTATTATACACGACGATAAAGGGAAACTAACCATCTCGTCAAAGTTAATTCGCTGGTGGCTGCGCCATTCGTGAAGTAACATCTTTCATTCAATGGTTAAAGTACTCTCCTTTATCGTCTTATACAATAAATAACTATTTATTTATCATGTAAGGATGCTATAATAGTTATTTATGTATCAAGGGCGATATTTATGCCGAGGGCGCCAGAACCCGAGGGCCACTGGTCCGAGGGATTGTAAGTCACCCGAGGGTTAAATATCGAGTAATGCCTGAGATGCATACAAAATTTTATTTCTCATCGTTCCAAATAATGCATTTCCAATATACTCGAAGAAATGTAATGATTATTGTTTCCCAACTTTATATCAAGTAGCATCTTTTTTTATTACATAATATAACTCCGTCAATATATTTGACAGGTCGTTTTGAGGGCATAATGAAATAACAATCCATTATGCCCTCGAGCGTCATAGACTGCTTTATATATCTCATACGACAGATATAATTGGCATATAGATATAATAGGCAAATGAAAAATAAAGTTCTTTATCCCCACCAGAAAAGTTTAATTTCCGAGGTCTTTGTTTCGATAAAGAACCAATGACGCAAGTTAAATACAAGATTTTAACGAAAATTGCTCAATGAGCAAGCTATTACATTTCTTCTCACTGAATATCGAATTTCATTCAACGGTTTTCCGAAATGGGTCGTGACTGCTAATGTGACAATTAGGTACCTTAATTATACGTACATGAAACAAATCGAAGCCGCTTCCGACAAGGGTTCCACGAGTTGTTTTAGCTGCCGATAAGGAAATGAAGATATTGTAAATAATTTGCCATTTGCAGCCGTTGCCATAGAGATATTATCATTGCAGCATCCGAAAACTCCCTCCGATTAGAAGAGGACAGAAAATTATGCGATCGGTGTTGACTCAACCAGCGAATTTTAGAATTTTAGTTCGGTAAAGCAAATAAGCCGTGAATTAGATGTGTTGCAGAGAAACTTCGTCTGATTAGGTTGTGTGTGGTGTCAAATGAAGCGCGTTTAATTATCATGAATCCCAGACTTTTATGATGACCGGAAGCCGAGAGATTAATTAAAGAAGTTTTCATTTTTGAACGTTATCACCCGAGTACGCCGGCCAGCTGGAAATTCCGATGTTTCCTTTCCGCACTTTGGGAACAGGTAAAAGCATGTTTTAGGGAGATCTTTTTCCGTTTTGGCTTTTTGTGTCAATTTGGACGTTAAATTTTGCATTGCCGCTTAATATCAAGGTAAGCGCTTGATATTTTTCCGTTAAGCGCTTGATATTTTTTCCGTTAATTATAAAGGGGGTTTGCTTTCCTCTATTTGGTTTGCCGTTAGATACCGATAGTCAATTTGCTCTTCGGGTCTCGCTTTGAAAAGTCGTTACCGTTTCCGTAATTCTGCTTTAAATTTTATTATTCACCAGTGATCGGCCGCATATTCCAAGCAGTGAATTTCTGTATAGCTATAGTGCAGTATTATTAGGTTCCAAAAATCTGGAAAAGAGAACACAAAGAATTCCTCATAAGAGTTTTTGAATAAAGGAAAAGACCCGAGCTATCGCCATTGTTGATTAGTCGCTTTCTGTGACATGCAGTCCAGCTACAGTATAAGGTTATTCTGAGTCAGGCGAAATAAATGAACTAATACAAAAAGATAAACCAGAAATTTAACTGAAGCGCCAATCCCTTTCAAATCACCCAATCGCTGTAGACACATCTAAATTCACGTACTTATATCTTATCAGGTAGATAAGAACCGTGCACAGTGTACCTACAATCGGTACACATTGTAGTGCAAATAACCGCCATGAGATCAACGTTTGTGTGCTACTTTTGCATCCTGTTCAAAATTACGATGTCGGCGCTGACTCCCCAAGAGAGATTGTGCCAGAATTTTGGGAGCTGTGACCTTTGCATACAGGCGGAAACGTACTGTGGTTGGTGCTTTCAAGAGGTAAATCTCACTATAGCTATCGAAACGAAATTTAAAATGTATCCATAGCCATAGAGGAAAAATAGTAAAAATCAAGCTATATGCTTGATTCAGATTACTCCGTATTCTAAATGAGTAACCTTTTGTTTCTGTCATATGAATACTCTAATACTGAATCACATTTTTCTTTCACCAATTCTGACTCTTTGTCCTTTGGGGCATGTTTCTAAGTTCGTGGCGCTTTCGGCTAGCGATATACACAGCTTATATATAAAGCAAGTGTATTTTCTATAATAAATCTCGAATCTCTCAAAATAAATTCTATCGGCGTGCTATAGGGGTGTTACACAAACCAAAGGGCATTCATTTTATTCCAGAATGTCGTCAATCCTAGATACATTTTTTTCACCAGTCCACAGAGATCCTTCGGCGTTTTTGTATTGTTAAATTTATATTTTTAACCAAATTGACTGTTTATAAGAAATAAAATCACACAATAAGCATTAGATCGACCAATGAAATTTTAAAAAATGGCAACGATAGATTCATGTCACATCGTGAAGTTGGTCTAAACCAAACAACCCGGCAACCCCCTCCAACCTTTCTTCACGACCCCATCCACATATCTTTTTGTTGTCTCTTTCGGCCTCTTTACCTTCCCTTAAACTTTGCTTCTTTGGGCTTCCTTTCTTCATACTTCATCCACAACTCTCAAACGCAATTTTTCTCCGCTCTGCATATGCCCTCCTTACTCACTACGCTCATAGTACCGCTTACCTCTATAGCCCTTTCATCCCGACCTTTTCCGCTTTATAGAGGTAAAAAAATGCAAACGTTGTAACTACGCTGCGGCGCGACAAGCTCCCAATCAAAGCCAAAATTGATCGGCAGGATACCACTTTTAAAACGGCGATAGTCAAAAAGAAAAGAAGCCCTTTCTAAATTAAACGTTTACCTTTTATACACATCTACAAAATGAAGAAGCGGTATACGTGAAACCCAACCAGCCGGAGTACCTACCCTTTGCGATACGCTCAGAAATTAAAGCTCTTTAATTAATAACGTTCTTTCTTTTTGTAAGGGCGCTTTTGACGGATGTAATCTCGACTTAATCGGCGGCGGTTATCTGTATTAATTAATTATTGCCGGAGTAACATTCCAAAATTTTGTAATCCAATTAACACCCATGGCCAAATGGAATTCGCAGCTCAATTGGCGAGATCATCCATATCTACCGATATATATGTAAACTGCATGATATGGACTGGTTTTAAGCTTGCTTCAAATTAACATAGGAAACAATATAATGGCTTAACGTGGCTAAAATTCTAAAATATTAATTTGTCCTCGTCCTTCAAATGACAAGAGCTTTCGGACGAAACAAAGACAATTGGAATATCTGGACGGGAACGGTTGCAAACGGCGGATTAATTGCAGCGTTAATTACGGTAGCAACGACTGAAACACAACTCTAAAAAATTACCTTTATCTTCGATCTTCAACTCATAGAACCAACACAAATACTTTCGGGACGACACTTTCGTAACGAAGCACTTCTTTATACCGGGTGTTCATTCATAGAGCTGGTGAAAACTGGAAACTTTAAAGATTTTTTTTAATTCTACGAGTTGGACGGTATTCAAAAATTTTATACGAGAGCAGAACTAATATTCGAGAAAATAAAGCGTGTTAAGCTAAGGGCGAGTGTTCAAGCAGATAAGAGTCGACACGTTAGAGTGTTGCCGGTTCTAGAAACGGTCGGTACGAGAGCATGTAGAAAAAATGCAGCCGAAGCCGAAGACTATGAAAAATTTGGTGGGAGGGCGGCATTCTTAGCCAGACCTTCGAGGCAAAGTACGTAACGTAAATGCGAACATTTATCGATCGCGTTAAAAGAAATTCTTCGAACTTTGGAAGCGAATATTGTGAGTTGTGTACGCCATTTTGGAGATCGCGTAAAATAATTCAAAGTTCGAAATACTTCACTGCAAGGTAAATTATTTTCAATTAACATTAATTGATCGAATTAGAGATTTAATGTTTGTAAGTTTTTTCTTCTAAAACCCTGTTTGAAGAAAATGTGAGCTCCCTAAGGCAGTTCGAGGGGAGACGATGAATTAAGCTTTTTGAGATATTGGTTCCTTGAGTCAAATGAAATTTCTTTTCTCTTTTTTTTGCATTTTAATGACACATTGCAAAAAACATTTTAATAAAGAGCAAATGAATTAAAGTTTATTCAACGGCAAATCAATAAAAAAAAGGGAGTGTGAAGCAAAAACGACCTACCTAGTTAATTTTGCTTAAAATTAATTATTGGCAAGTTCATAGATAGCTTTATATCCGACTAAAAGAAGAACCACTTGTAGTATTTTATCAATAGGTCGCCTTTATTTGGGTCTGTCATTGGGGCGAGGAGGTTACTTTTTTGAACTGCAGTACTAATTTAATTTTTCTTGTGTACTTAGAACTTCAAAAGTGACCGATGCGGGCCATTAGAAAGCTTGGTAAGAGACGGCTGCGATAAAAGCAACATATTGCAAAGTTCCGAGGACTCAAAGATCTTGGATATGGAAAATAAAGATTTCAGAGGTGTTACAAACCCGGACAATATCGAGGACTCAATACAACTTAAACCCCAGAAGGTTTCTGTACAGATTAAAGCGAGTAAGTATACATTGATCTGTGATTAATCCACATTTACGCGTTCCAGAGCAACCGATCAACTTTCAGTTCGTTTATCGACCGGCAGAAGATTACCCGTTGGATCTGTACTACCTTATGGACTTAACCGAGACGATGTATAAGGACATAGCAACCATGGCAACCTTGGGTGCCGATCTTACTAAACTTCTCCAGCAGTTATCGAAGAATTTTCGCGTCGCCTTTGGTTACTACTCTGACAAGGTGGCGTTTCCTTTCTCGCGAATGGCACCCCACTTCCTGGAGAACCCCTGTGAGCCCTACGGACAAACCTGCGAGAAGCCCTTCAATTTCGTGCACAAGTTGAACTTCACCAATGACGTGGAGAAATTCGTCAATACGGTACGAAACTGTGCAGTGTCACAGATTTGACGTCTTACAATTGCAGGTGAACGCAAGCAAAACCACGTCAAATTTAGACAACTTGGAAGGCGGAATGGACGCGCTCTTGCAAATTATCTACTGCGAGGACTACATAAAGTGGAGAAAGAACTCGCGAAAACTAATCGTGATCGCCACTACGGCCTCAATGCACTTCGCGGGCGATGGCATTTTTTGGTTGGGGGCCGTTAAGCGAATAACCGGAAAATGTTTCTTGGACCAAAAGACGGTATCTACAGCCGCTCGCTGGTTACGACTACCCATCTTTGGGAGAGGTCTTTCGCCAGTTGGCGTTTCAACAAGGTGAGAGGTGGCAATGTTTTTGGGAAAACTTTTGTACGGTTGATTTAAGATGAACGTGTCTTTTTCCGCGGCCAAAGAGGAATGCCCTAAAATACTACGAGAAAAGTGATCAAGACACTTCCGTACGTGTTTCGTGGGGAATGGCCTTGCGGAATAAGTCGAATCTAAATTGTACTTAATTTGGTCACGAGGGTTACTTCAAATGCGTTCGGAACGTTTCTTTGTGGCGCTTGCTAAGCTGAAAACATAAAAAAGTTGTAACATTAAGACTAATTGCAACAACGTTGACAGGTTGGAAATACGTGTCCAGCGCGTGTGATAATGTTTGAAGTTGGCAAAGAGTACGTTTTCGAACGTAATTTAGAGTGGACCGCAGTTCCCTGACAGGTTAAGGGTAAGATCTGCTTAAAACTACAAAGTTTTGAGGCTATTCAATTAATTGTAGAGGAAAACTATTATAATAGAAGAGAAGAATATCGCGGAGAAAATCAATAATCGACGTGAATAATATTGGAAAGTGCGAATGGTGATGAGGAACCGAGAAGAACTGTCGGGAGTGGTGTAACACAGGTGCGGAATATGCGAATATGTGAAGAGGGATGGTTAATTGGTAGTAATCATTCTCTACACAAATTTCATGATCCATTTTTTCAGGAAGGGAGACAATTGTGAAATCAGTTGCATAAAACCACGGGTTTTGAAGAGTGTCGGGAGAAAAATGACACGTACACTTCAGGTAATCTTGGCGGTGAGTTTGCAATTACGCAAACTGATCCAGTGTCAATCTTCCAAATTTTAGAGGCGATTGCGAAATGTGGAATGTGTATTTTGCGATGAAGGAATACACGGGTAAGAGTTTTGCCAAGATAAGCAGAAAGTGGGGCATGATGTAATCTAATCTTTAGGGTCCCTGAAGCTGGAAGAAGTCATTGATGGCTGACAGTTACGATCTTTATTTTGTTTTATAAAGCTATTTTGTTGCATAAATTAGGCCGCCCTTCGAAGGTTTTGTCATTTAAAGTAGACATCAGGTAAAATCAATACAACCATAAACCCCTATGTCTACTTCTTAATGATTAGCATTGGCCTTTAGGTTTGCTCTTTAAATTAACAATTTTGATATCAACAGGAAACAAACAAAGGAAGCATATGTGGAGGTTTGGTGGGGCGAGGTATTTGCGAGGAAGGAAAGTATCCTGCAAGGCTGGATTTACCAGTGAAGACTGCCTCGTGCCCGACATCAAACAAAAGGTCAAGCGCCCGTTAGCGACAGAAGTATTAGCGACGAGGGGGACATGCAAATGGTGGAGTGTGCGTTTGCAATCAAAACTACAGTTGGGGAGTTCTCGAATTTGCCCTACTTGCAAGGGATTAGTTCAATTACGAGAGACTGTGTTTGGATAACAGTTGAGAGGCACAAGTTGACTAAGTGCACAAGATGGCAAGTTCCCTTTGTCATCGAACGTAATCAGTGATGGTAAACATACGGTCAAAAATCGTTTAATTACCAACGTTTTACTGGGTCGACGGGCTCAAACTGTCCATCTTCGCACGAGAAGGAAGGTGCGGATTCATTTGCGATGCACAATCCGTTACATTATTGGAAGACCGAAACGGTTCCCGACCTGGGAAATT